TTCTGTGCCTAAGTAAATAAAGAGTCACCCTTTCATTAAAGTGACTTATTTTGTACCAAGCAGTCATTCATACAAAAACTGTGTTATTACAGATTATACATGCTTCATAAAATACTGCACTGTAACATTTGTTTTTCATTTCTGGACAATCTGTTGGCTCACACCACAGACGGAACAGAAACTTTAGGCCTTCGTGCAGTATGAGCAAGAAGAAACTTATTTTACATTATTGTCACATAAATAAGTGAAAAACAAACAACATATAATTTTGACATCAAAATAAAAGATGAAGTTCTCTGCAGTTAAAACTGTGAGAGTTTTAACATTTTCTCACGTACTGCACAAGCTGTCAGCCCTGCGGATAAGTGCCAAGTTTTATGTGCCAAGTTTTCAAGATATCAAAGTCTCTGAAATGTTTGTCGCCAGCCAGATTTGTACCAAACAGAATTTCAAGCGTGCTGCTCAAAACATTGAAATCTACATTTGAACTTTAAATTGATCAGATTTAAAACAGTTATCTCATATATTGTGACAAACATGATGCATACCTCGCAAACATTTTGAACTGCTCTACAGATTCCATAACTGGAAGTGATTTTTGGTGGTTATTTCATGTATGAAAGAAGCTACAGGAAAACCTCTCACTCACCTCCAGCTGCCTCTTCGTTTCACTGAATGACCTCTCCAACGTCTCCATCCGGTGCATCTTAGCTCGAAGCGTCTCCAGCTGACCCTGCAGCTCCTTGACCTGCTCCTCTTTGAGCGGGTCAGTCCTCTGGGGCTCTCCCCCCAGCGAGGCTACCTGTCTCTCTGTGTCGTCCACCTGCTCCCTCAGCATCAGAATGTTCTGGCTGTACCTGCAAACATAAATAAAAGGGTCATTACACTTTGTATTCATAACAAACGTGAAGATCTTTTAACTCGCTATAACACAAAGAAATGATGTCATAGTCACAGTTTGTCGCTCTCATTTATCAACACTATATTTCAGATCAATCAAAACAAAATAAAAAACTTTCTCAGATAAATCTACACACAGTATGTTGATTAAATATTAGTCTACATAGCATTTTCTTGTGGTTTACAATGCAACCAAGGAGCTCAGTTATATGCTGTTCAACTCGGATCGAAGCAAAAGATAAACTTTTTGGAAAATAGGTTCAAAAATATTTTAACAATGTGTACGTACAACGTGTAACAATCCTTTCTGACACAGAAAATTAATTTGTGATAAAGAAATGAACGTGTTAAAAAATGATCTATCTAAAAAGTTATTTATTTTAAAATAAGATTTACTATTTTATATCACTGTAATTTGAATATCTCTGGGGTTTGGATTGATGACTAAACAAGCAGTTTTGAAGAACATGTGATGAACTTTTTTTTTAATAAAAACATTCTAGAGATTATTCAATAATGAAAATAATTTTCGTTTGCAGCTCTACTTTGTGATCCAGATGGATCTGAAAACACCTTGAGAACTGTGACAGTCAAACGATCTTCTGGAGTTTTTAAAAGATTGCGATGGATGTGTCTAGAAAAACTGATGCTTAGCTCTGTGACTCAAATGTAATGGTAATGCATAACAGACACACACTGAGTCTCACATCTGCAAGTTGTCCAGATCACACGGTGTGCTGGAGCCATCTGAGGGCTGGTCTACTTCCTGGACCTCTCGGCTGGGTCCAGTTTCTGGCTGGCTGAGCCTCTGCTGGTGTTTCACTGCTGACAGAGGGCAGGGCTGTGCAAATGACTTGTCTGCAGAAGAGCAGCGGTAGAGTTTGGGCTTTGAGGTAGACGGCTCAACTTCGTCCGCATTCAACTTCCTCTTGGGCTTCTTGGGAACATGGGCTGCTTTGGCACCCTCTCTGTGTCCCTTTGCTAGGTTGAGTCTAATGTCTTTGAGGGGCCGCTGGACGAGGATGTAGTCAAACTCCGCTTTGTTTCCAATTACAGGAACCCCAAGTTGTATGGAGTCTCCAAGCCTCAGCTGATGGGCTTCTTCAACGGGTATCCGGTTCCCATTCACCCACACACCGTTGAGACTCTGGAATCAAAGAAATTGAATATTAAGGAACACTGCTGCAGCTCAATATAATATTCATATACAAAGAAAACAGATAAAGATAATAATGTTCAATTCTGGTTGACAATAGAAGTGTTCTGTGTATCTCATTGTATCATTTGGGTTGTAGTTTGTGGTAGTGTTGAGTTTCATATTTCTAATATTTTGCCCAACACATTTACATACTTGAAAGGGGAAGAATATTAGGAGCACATTTCAAAGTTTTGCAGTCCAGTAGAACATTAATGTGTCCTTAGTAGTAAACATACAGCTGATTATCATGTTGAGAAATGTAGAATTTGTGGCTGATCTGTTGTATTGGATTGCAAACACTGTAATTAGGTGTGCCTAATAAAGCGACCAGGGAGTCTCTAGATCGAAAAATCTGATTCATTCAGTTTAAGCTACTAACCCATCCCAACTGTCTTAAACTGAGAGATAAAGCCGATTGTTGGATATCTGAAGGCGCACTTACTTATTCTTTGGGAATGCCCTTTAGTTTAGTTCAGACTTATTGGTGGAAGGTCGAATTGTAATTTTGTTCAATAGCCTCCCTTTCAGCTCAGAGCATCTAGCGCTCTGCTCAGCTCTCTGGATTTTAATACGGTGGATCGTTTTGTTCAGAAAGTGACGAGGAAGAATGTCCTGGTTAAAGATCAGACAGGTCACAAAGTTATTACATGTGTGTGACTGTTGAATGAATATTGTAGACATGTATCAGGCTAATAAGATCAATGCATAGGTTATCAGATTCAAACACGTCTGGAGAGTTTCAGTGTGGGACTTGTTGACAACTGATAAAGGTGCACTGCAGACTGATGGTCACACTGTTACACAAACAGGTGTGCTTTTATTTGAACGACCCTGTGTAGCAGATAGATCCTGTTTTGACACAGATTGATATATGTAGCTTTCCCTGTACACACTGCACTCATTTAATACGCTTAACACACCACATCTGTATTATATCAACTGGTATATTTAGAAACATCAGGATTTTCACACGGCTTCTTACCAATATAGAAATTTAAAGTCATTTCCTATCATTTTTCTCGTCCCTATATTATTTTTTAGGTTGTATTTTGTTTACATATTTGTTGACGTGCTTATTGGATATTAACTGCATGTGTTTACATAGCAGAATGAATGAAATATCCCTCATAAAAGAGAACACAACACTCATTATCAGCTCAATCAGACACCTTCTTGTCTGTCACAGTCCAGTGGCCGTCCTCCCTTTGCTTGAAAGTACAGTGCAGTCTGGAGATCATGAGAGGACAGGTTGGAGACAACAGCTGGTAGGTAACATCCACACCTCGTCCAATGGAGATCTGGACAATCAAATAAACAAACAAACAACCCAAAAACAGTCAGATAGCTATGTACTGAGCACATTAAAACACATGCATACTCTTTAATAACAAGCTACAAAAAACAGAAAGCCGACCCATGAATGAAGAATATATTTTAAGTGTAAAAACCCCCAAAAGACTACAGCGAACTCGAGCTTAAGTTTTAGCGCTGAGGCATTTTTCTTTTTTTTTTCTTCTTTGAGCTCACTCAGCTAGCATTAGCAGACCTCACCTCAGTGTTGTCGAACAAGCGGAGCCAGTCTGAATTTCTCCCGACTCTCATCAAACACAACACCTCAGAGTCTGAACATTCATCCTCCTCGGCCGCAGACGAGTCCGTCGTAACAGCCTCCATCGTTATCTCATTCTGTCAGCGGCTAACAGGAGCTGAAACGCATCACTTGCTGTCGTGTTGTTGTTCCTCCGTCCATCGCTAACGCTAGCAGCCTGTTAGCAGCAGAGTGACACCGGAGCGGAACACGTTTGGCTTTTGTTTTTCAAAATAAAAGCGCGTTTTTTTTTTTGTTTTTTTTTTTGGATTATTAGATTTTTTTGGGGGCCATCGTTGGTGAACTAAAAAAAAAAAAAAGAGCTGTTTAAATAAATTAATTAAGACAAGCTGCGATAGATTATTCCAATTTTAATTTTTAATTTAATTGTCTTGTCATAAAATCACCGTTATCTACTGTTCAAACGAAAACAAAGACAACATCAAAACATAGCAACCTGCTGCTGATCTATTGAGTGATAATAACCTAATAATCAATAACTTCACAAGGTGTAAAATACTTCACATGCACATTATTTATTGTTTAAACTTAAAAGAAAAAAATCAAAATGGTCAAAAACAATATTTAATAGTGCCCAATTATGAAGAGATATATTGTTATTGTGTAGTTTTAATTCATTTAGCAATAAATAAATATATTTAAAGCATTTATTATTTATTTAAAAAATAAAAACATATCGTGATGAAGAAAAGAAAATAAGTAAAATAATAATAATA